GATCTGAATGGGTGTTTTTAACTCACAGCAGACACAACAGGCTGAAAGCAAGTTCTTTTGATTTGAAAGAAGAGCTAGTATTTGAGAGAGAAATACATTTTGCTTTGAGTTCTAGGGCTTAACCCAAAGTTAGGAGGCAAAGTTTGGAGAACTGATCATCTAGTTGATAAGAGGAAGGATAGGATGTTAGAGCAATTTCCCATGATATAGGAAGAATTTTAAAAAAAGAAAGAAAAGGAAAGAAATAAAGCTCTGAGTTGGGAAGTTAAAAGCTTGGCATGAGAGGAGTGGGGTTAAAATCCTGATAGAATGGAAGAGAAGATGCCAAAAAAGTAGGGCAACATGTATCCTGCTTCCTGGGCAGAGACCATGCGGCTACAAGCCTCCTATAGACATTTCTCATTCTTTCAAGCTGAGTAACATGGTGGGCAGGTCAGAGAACAGCCAAAGACGCAGGAAGCATTATTCTTGATGGGCCTGCCATAACCTTATAGTCTCCCTCATTCAGGTGGGGTGTGGGGAAGGTAGCCAATATTTCCTATGTTCCCAAGTTGGAGCAAGAGATTGCTAGAAGGCCTAGAGATAGAAGGAAGCCTGAAGTCTAAATATGGGTATACAAACTAGAGGCATTCATGTCCTGTGACTATGGCAAGGCCATGGATGGTGGGCACAATGCCAAAGGCCAGGTGTATTGCTAGCTCATATGGAGAAGGGAGAATTTATCAATCATTTTCCCTGAAAGGCACTTAAATGGGAAGAGACCACATTTTATATTTGAGGTGACTAAATTTTAATTTGCAAGATTAAATCTTACATTCCCACCACAGGATATTTCCATCACCCTCCATTATCAGCGTTGTTATTGTTGTTAGTCGCCATGGAGTTGTCCCTGACTTATGGTAAGGCAATGCACGATGGGAATGCACCATTGTGGTTCATAGGGTTTTCACTGGTTAATTTAGGAAGTAGATTGTCAGGCCTTTTGTCCTACTGCATCTTAGTCTAGAAGGTCCGCTATAACCTATTCAGCATCATAGTAACATCCAAGTCTACACTGACAGGTTATGGCTGCACATGAGATGCAATGACTGGGAATCAAACTTGAATCTCCAATGCGGAATGCCAGAATTCAACCACTGAACAACCACTATCCCCTCATTGTCAATACTGACCTACAATACCTTCCTCTCTGGGGGAAAAAACCCAGCAGTAGTCATTTCCCATGGATTTGGAAGGCAATGTGATGCCCTAACTTAATGACCCAGTACAGCACAGCAGCTCTCTAGTTGGGTAGCTTCACCTTTTGATAAGATCCTGTAGGGGCAGGATGTGTTGGTATCAATGGCAGTGCACACAAGGGTTTTAGAGAATGTAAGGAACATTCTCTTAACTTTTTAATAGTTTGTATGTATTTTTATGAGTACTTTTTATTTATGAAATGATAACAGATTTCCATTTGCAGAGGAAACAGGAACTTTGGTTTTAAGTACATTTAAGTAGAAAGTAAGTCAATTTATGGAAAATATCAAGTAGAAAATAGTACAAGTGGGACAAATTGTGAGGAAATCTTTAAGGTGATAACATGAATGATTGAGGTTTGGGACAGAGTGCTGTGCAGAAATGAGTTTTGAGGAGTGGAATTTTTAGTCTTATGGCAGGAAAGACTTAAAGAGCTCAGAGATGAGGGAGCTTTCCCTTACAAATAACATCGGGCACGAAGGTCTTCATCCTCCTACAGGTAATAGTGGGCTTGTTCAGAAGCTGTGTTCTATTCTGTACTGTGTCTATTTAGGATGCAAAACCACGAGGGAAATGTGGAAAACTTGGAAATGTTTACAAAAGAGTAAAAGGAACCAATAAACATCTGGAAAACAAACCTAGATAAAAAATGGAATTTTCCAAGAAAGGGAGGAAAACAGGCAATGAATTTAACTTCAGACAGAAAGAATTACTGTTGGCTATGATAACAGTGTCCTCAGGAGGGGTTACTGGGTCATCTGGAGACACGTACCTCCTCCCCTACTCAGTTAGGGTGGAGTGAAAGAAAGAGGAGTAAACTAGAAGTGGGGAGAAAGTTCTAGATCCAGAGACATGGAATGATGGATTGTTTGCACTAGATGGAAACCTATAAGGCTCAGCTTCCCTAGCTAATAACAGGGCCAGCAATTCCTCCTTCACCCCCATCAGTGTTTCTAACTTGCTGAAGAGCCTCAAAGTACAGAAAGCCACTTTGCCTTTATATAAAATTATCATTAATAACATACGATTCTTACATTTTACCCATACATATGTGGGGGGGAAAAAACAGACATGATTAGGAGTAAGTTTTTTTTGGTTTCGTTTTAAAGAGAGAGAGGTTAAGAATCAACTAATCATCACAGACTAAAAAGACAGTAGGAGAAACAAAGCAGGTCCTCAAGTATCTTTAAAACTGGTATTCAGATTAGTTCTTGAATAACTAAGGACTATCCTCAAGGTATCAAGGATATTCAAGGCTGAAATCCCATAAGATATTCAGAAGTTAAATATAATTTCAAAAGTAGAAGTATTACCAGTGGTATAATCCTAGGTATAACTGCTTGAAATAAAGAATCTAGAAGCAGTAGTGTAGAGTTTTCTGACACAAAGCATGACTGAGGAAAAGTACAAAAAGATACTCCAATAGAAAGTAGGCAAGTTATGGCAGATGACCTTATTATTATTTTTGGGCAATGTCCATATGCTTTTTACTTCATGGTCCCATTTCTTTCTTACATTACAATATCATCAGTCTTGTTATTATCTCCATTTTACAGGTGAGTAAAGGCACTCTGGTAGTACAGCGCCTAAGGCATTTGACTGTTAACCAGAAGGTTAGTGGTTCAAATCCACCAGCTACTCCATGGAAGGAAGATGGAGCAATCTACTTCTGTAAAGATTTACCACCTTAGAAAACCAATGGGGGCTGGATGAGTCAGCATCGACTCAAAGGCAGTGGATTTTTTTTTTTTTCCTGTACTGGTGAGTACACCAAGATACAAAAAGGTTGAATTAACTTGCCCTAGCCAGTAAGTGGCATATAGAGGACACAAACCAGCCAATGTGACTACCCCAGTACCCACACTCTAGCCAGCTGATGAAGCTAAGGGGCACAATCCAACAATACTTTACTAAGTAAAAACTACCAACATTTAAGGGCTAAGTGGCAAGTTCTACCAAGAACTATGCACAATTTCATTTAACCCTCCCTTCAACCCTGAGTGGCCCAAAAAGTTACCATGCTCAAAAGGTTGGCATTTTGATTCTACCTATAGGCAGAAAGTGCCTTGGAACAAAGTCCCAGCAATTAACTTCCAAAAGATCAGCCACTGAAACCCTATAGAGCACAGTTCTATTCTGAAACGCAAGGGATAGCTAGACAGCAACTGGACAATCTTAGCAAAACCCAAACCCACCACCATCAAGTTGATCCCAACTCACAGCAACCCTATTGGACAGAGCTGAACTGCCCCACAGGGTTTCCACGGCTGTAAATCTTTATGGAAGCAGACTGCCTCATCATTCTCCCACAGAGTGGCTGGTGGGTTTGAACCACCAATCTTGTGGTTCGCAGCTGAATGCCTTAACCACTGCGCTGAACCAATCCTTTAATCTGATTTTATTAGTGTCTGCCCCTGGCCTCCAAAGCACAGCTCTGATGACCTTCTAGCATGAATCAAAAGTCTAATGGTTACCTCAAAAGATCAATAGGATCTAAGAGCTTTTGCATGAGGGTAGACGTTAAAATCAAGTTCTCTCAGGTCTAGAAAATAACTGCTGGGAAGAGGTCATAAAAGTCAAGAAGTCACAAAGGAGAAGCAGCAAGGGTAAGCGTTCCCAGACTCTGACAGCATTTGTCTCTCTGGGCACTGGTCCATGTGCTGCCTTGTGACACGGCTTGTACTCTGACACTGAGTACAATTCAGAGCAACACTGTTATTTTGCTTTCCACATGTTTATGTCATTCTTCCAACTAGATCAGAAAAGCTCTGTGATGGAGAGTGTGTCTTTACACCAGCTTACTACTCTTAGGAGCCATGAATACTGTTAAAAAAAAACAAAACCAAACCCACTGCCATGGAGTTGATTCCAATTTGGAGCAATCCTACAGGACAGAGTAGATCTGCCCTATAGCGTTTCCAAGGCTATAAATTTTTACAGAAGCAGACTTCCTCATCTTTCTCCCATCAACTTTTTGGTTAGCAGCTGAATGCTTTAACCAGTGTGCCACCAGAGCTTCTTAAAGACATGGATTTTGTTGCAAACTCCTCATTCTTAAACCACCTTAAGTCAGCTTTTCGTGTGGGTCTCGTGTAGGTGTTGTCTTTAAGTGCCATCAAATCTGTTCTAATTCACAGCAACCCCATGTACAAAAACAAGGGAACATTGCCCGGTCCTGCACCATCTTCACAATTGTTGCTGTGCTTTGGTCCATCATTGCAGCCACTGTATCAATCCATCTCTTTGAGGGTCTTCCCCTTTTTCACTGACCCTCTACTTCACTAAGCATTATATCCTTCTCCAGGGACTGGTCTCTGGAGGTTTATTTTAGGTGTTGTTGTTGTTATGTGCCACTGAGTCGGATCCAACTCATAGCGACCTCTCCTTGGTATTCCGAGGAGGTATTACTACGGAAGTAGATCGCTCAACCTTCCCTCTGAGGAGTGGCTGGTGGGTTTGAATCACCAGCCTTCTGGTTAGAAGTCGAGTGCCTTAGGCACTACGCTACCAGAGTCCCCTCATTTTAGGTAGTGGATAAAATTTTAGCAGGTCACCAAGAAAAGAGCAAGCCAGCTGGGCTGTGTGCTTGGCTAGCTTCTAGGGTGGACTTAATAGGAGGCAGCTGGCCACAATGGACCTGAGAGCCAATGCATGATCAGAACCCTGGCACAGACAACAGCACAGTGGCAGTTTTTAAGCTGCATGGTTAACTGTTCAACATGTACTGTGTTAACCCAGCACATCGCTTTACTTAATCTTACCTGTACTGTTTGTACTGTGTAGATTTTCTTCAGATTTGATGCACACTCAGCTGCTGTGGCACCAGGGAGGGATCTAATCAGATATAAGCAAAAGAGCAAACAAACAAACAAAATGAGTAGGTAATGTTGATGAAATGTTCCTCAATATAATTTTGCAGATCTTAATAAAAATTAAGCCTAAGACCACAGAGTTGGACACTTCTGGGATGCTATTTAGAATTTAAATGTTAAATTCCTACTTTGTGAAGTAATGTATTTACTTCCTTTAAAAACATATATATATATATAAAGGCATATTTATTCTGTGGAAATTCAATTTAAACAAAAGGAAAAGCATGTAAGAAAGATATTGGAAATCTTAAAATCACATTTTAAAACATACTAAAATAATTTTGTAATAACCAAGCACTTCGCTTTGGACTTTAAGTAAGAAACTACCCCTTTTGTACAGATGACAATGAAGACGCAATGTCTTGAACCTGGTTATGTGTTTGAAAAAAGCCAAGTGACCATCTACTTTTATTTTCCTGATGGTAAATATCCATGAACTCTTGAGAAACAGAGTGACCTTCTGTTTACTTTAAGAAAACTTTATTATTACTAAAGTCAACTTTAGTTTCATCTGAATATACATGCGTTTCCAAAACACTAGCTTTGAAAATACTTCCAGTAATTTTCTTCAGCTAATTTCATTAGCTCACCTTGTGATCATTATGTATTAATCTTTAGTTTGCTGTATGTTCCACTAGATGGCAACATACTACAGGTTTATTCACCCGAAAAACCAAGCACTAAAACTGGCTTTACCATTTCCAAGGAGAGGGGGTAAAATTCGTGTGGTCACCTAAATCCTTAGAAGTTCAAGCCTTTCAATTCCTGCCCCCTTTTTCTTTCTCCCTAAACTGAATTAGCAGTTCCTGCTCAAGTATGTTGGGGTCCAGCTACATCAGGCCTAAGATTATAATCCACTATACAAACAACACTCCTCGGAAGGAAGGTTGGGCAATCCTACTTCCGTAGTGATACAGCACATAACAACAAAAACAACATACAATGCTCAAACACCCTATGTCCGGTGGCTAGGTGAAATTAATTGCTTGCTGAGAGAACAAGTACTTGAGCTCATAGCAGACCTTCTAGAATCTGAAATCTATACCAGCCACTGCTGCCCGAGACACAGTCCCCAGGGAACCTCAAGATACTTCCAGGACAGTCTTCACGAAGTTGCACACTAGAGATTTCACAAAACTTACTGGTGCTCAGAGGCAGAAAATGGCCCAGCAAAGGGCTGTGTGTGAATGTGGGGTGAGGCTGGGATAGGGCCAAGGGGCAGGGCTCTACAGGCTATATTCCTGACCTATGCACCACTCCTAAGTGTTGAACTGAATATCAAAATGCATTTCTGAATACAGCTCCACTATGTGAGGGTCATTTGAAAAAAAAAAAAAAAACGCAAATGAAACCAGTTGCCCTAGAGTCAATTCTAACTCATAGTGACCCTATATGGCAATCTAGGACTGCCTCATAGGGTTTTCAAAGCTGTAATCTTCACAGATGCGCAAAGATGTAATCTTCACCCCATCTTCTGTGGAGTGGCTGGTGGGTCCAAACCTTTTAGTTAGCAGCTGAGTGAGTTAACCTACAGTGCCACAAGGGCTTCTCTCTGTAAAGATTACAGTCTTGGAAACCCTATGGGGCAGTTCTCTGTTCTATAGAGTTGCTATGAGTCAGAATCAGAAGCAGACTGCCAGATCTTTCTCCAACCCTTTGGTTAACAGTCTAGTGCTTAAACCACTGAGCCAGAAGGGTTCCTTTGGAGGACATTAAGGAAGCATAAAAGGAGGTCTTTTTATGTGATGTGGTGCCTCAGGCATTTGACAGCTAACCAGAATGTTGGTGGTTCAAACCCACCAAGCTGCTCCGCCAAAGGAAGATGGGTCAAACTTCTGTTAAGAATTACCATCCCAGAAACCCAAAGAAGGTCACTGTGACTCGGAATTGACTTGATGGCAGTGTGTTTGTGTTTTTTTTTTTTTTTTGTTTTTTTTTTTTTTTTTTTTTTTTTTTTTTTTTTTTTTTTTTTTTTTTTTGGAAGGACAAACAATTATGGACTAGTTTAGGAGCAAACAATGGCTCCCCAGAGGGCAAGCCAAATCTGATCAATCTAATTTATATACTGGGTTTACAACTTTTCTCTACTTGTATACAAATTTGCTGAACCTTTTTTAAAAAGAAAATCCACAATAGCCAACATGATCATGTTTTGTTACCAGACTTGAAGCCTAAAATAACCGGTTTGAACAGTGAAGAGAGAGGCACTCAATCAATCCCCGGCTAATGACAGTGCCTCGGCCCATGACGAAATGCATGCATCTGTATGGGCTGACTCAGGAGCTCTGGTGGCACTGTGGTTAAGGCTTTGGGCTGCTAACCAAAATATTGGTAGTTCAAACCCACCACCCATTCCACAAGAAAGAGATGAAGCAGTTTGCTTCTGTAAACATTTACAGCCTTGGAAACCCCATGGGGGTCACTAAGGCTAGGACTTTACTCAATCTGGCAAAGGTTTATATGGATTGACTGGGCTTGTAGTTACTTAAGCACCTACTGGGGTAATTATTACTTTAGTATGTAATACAATTTTGTGCCTTTTTTGCTTAAAATATAAAAAGACAGAGGAAATAACTAAAATGCTTCTTTTCCTGAACAGTGTTTCACATTAAAAAAAAAAAAAATCTATTGCTTTTATAAATCTACTGCTATCGCTTTCAATACTGGTTTTCCTTCCTTAGCTGGCCTCTCCAACAAAATGTGCTCTGCAAATATCCCTAAAGCCCCTAAAGCAGAGTACAAAGTGAAAAAAAAATGTACTTTGCATCTTTTTTTCATTTTTGAAGCTATATATTTCAATTTTAAACCAACTTCAAAGTTTCAATTTTAAACTAAGTTTCAGTTCAGTGTATGAAGGCTTAGGGAAAGTATAATTTGAATGTTCACCTCAGACAGCACAATGTCACTTTAAGCAAATACAATAGGAAGACAATGCCATTTAGTCTAGGGAAAAAACCAGTCTTTGATAAACATTTGTTCTATATGCTTCTTTTTTATTGATGCAGGCTCCATATTCTGGTCTCTTACTCATCTTCCACTGTAGGAGAAAACTATATAAAGTCATTTAGTTTTCCTTAGTTTCACTGTTCAAATTTTTGGAAGAAATCTAGTTTCCAAAGCCCAAGGACAGCTCTACAGTAAAACAACTAGGAATTGTTTATTAGTGCAAGGCAATAACAAGAGCTAATTTGTACTTAATGAATACTTGCCAATGGGCTAAGCATTTGCTTCCACTGCAGCACTGAATGTCTGCAACTCTACCTATGTAGCTGCAGTGTAGTAAATTACTTAGTGTGGCTTTTCTACCCATAAGTCTTTGTAAACTCCAAGGTGGGATTTGCTATGAGCAACTGAGGAGGCTCCTGACTGCTGAAGCTATCCACCTGGGTTATTTCTGTTGGGCGTGGCACAATACAATGTTCTGGGAGGTTCCCACTCTCTCTCAAGTGCTTAGAGTTCTGATGCTGTGATTGGCTAGTTTGACCACCCTTCAGGGCTCAAAAGGAGGCCTCCTGGAGGCAGAACTCTCTCTGACTGCTGGTTGAGGAAGACGTGCTGCCGAAAGAGACACGCGCCCCTGAAAGGGACATGTGTTGCTGGGAAAGAGACGCAAGAGACATGCATTGCTGAGTGAGACACCGAGGGACCAGCACTGCTGGGAAAGAGACTGTGAGAGACTGTTGGCTGAGGGACGGTGCGCTGGGAGAGAGCCTGAGCATTTTTCCTGAACCTGAATTGTAGCCTGTGGTGCTTCCCTAATAAACCCCATAATCTGTGAGCTCTGTGTGGCCACTGCAGTGAATTATCGAACCCAAGAGAGAGGTGGTGGGTGCTTTGGGAGGAACGGTTGGAGCAAGGGCTAGAGGGGGGAGGCAGCATGTCTGGCCTGGCAGGAATAGGCCTTGGGTTACTGCTGGTAATCCTGTCTTCCTCTTGTAGGGTTAGAGGAGGTCAGAACATGTGGCCTCCTTGCTGTTTTTGCAGTAGCTATTATATTATTTATCACCATTTTATAAGGGAGCAAGCTGCAGTTAAGAGTGATTTGGTAACTCACCTAAAGCCACAGAAATATAACGTAAAGATAGATGACCTGGCTGAATGTCTTGCTCTTCACCCTTCATTGCTGAGCTCATGGTCAAGTCATACACACACTTAACTATTTGTGTATTGTTCTCATCATGACCACCACAATACATGACTGTATCCATATGACTTTCTCAGAGGAAACTATTAAAATATTCTTTCCAAGAGGAAGGTAGGGAACATCCTCCCTAAAAACAACAGGGTAACTCCCAAGTACAGCTCCATCTTAGGAGGGTAACATCTTATAATGCCAATGCCTTGGGGTTTGAAAGGAAATACACCAGGTCCCATGGAAACTCAAGTTTTCTCCCTTCTTAATGGAGGAGGCTGAACTCTGGGACCTTAAAGGTTCCTTACTGCTTCTAGACAAGTTTTTGAATGTGCAGGTTTCAAAGTAACAGATCAATGCCACTGGAACTACTGATGGTGGCAAGGGGTTGGCTAGGCCAGAATAAAGCATGGCATTCTTCTTCCAGCCAACTCAATTCCAGTAATCACTGAAAAACACCAATATGCTCAAATCTCATAAATCTTTAACAAGTGAAATTAGGCTACATCAGCAGAATCAGTCTCAAAAGGGCAATACAAGCTTTTATTATTATTGTTATTATTATTATTATCTGCCTTGTAAACAGGTCAGTTTGTACTGCACTTGCTGATTCAAAGTTGAACCAGAAGCTGTGCTGTCTACTGCTACTGTTTCTTAAAGCAACAGTGCAGGCTGGTTCATGGCAAAGATGCAGTTGGGGTAGCAGGCAGACCTCACCCTTTTTCTCCTGTTACTCTAACAGGTAACTGTAGCAACTGGAAAGCAAATGTTTGTAACGGATTTCAGTGGAAACACTTCTTGTAAGTATCACGTAAAAACCGGTACATTCT